GTATATAAGGTTAAGGCACCTATTTTTCATTTAAGGTTTAAAAAATTATTTATATATATTTACAACATTACCGACGTAGACGATTTAGAGTTTATCTCTATCATATCATTATACTTATAAAAAGCATATCTTTGGAGATCTCGTCTTGTTGCTAATTGCTGATAAAAAGAGGGCGTATCATATTGATCTCTGTTATTTGCCGAGAACTAGTGCTGTCCAATACGCATGCGCATAGGTGTGAAAGAAGGAGGTGTTTTATCGGATTTGAATTCCTAACAAAGCCTTAATGACCTAATTGGTTAAGGAGTCTGCATAGACAGCAGAAGGTTCCTGGTCCGAATCTCGAATATATTGTACACTGATTTATATACACATGGAAAAGGGGTCCCATAAATTGTTGAAAATTAAAATAAAATGGAGAAATAAAGAACATTATATTTAACTTTTTTAAGTCTGAGAGGGCAATATCTGGCCTTCTAGAGGTGCTATATATACTGATATAGGCTATACTGATCGTCGTGGTTCACACGTACACTACTTAGAAATGTCGTTTGTCACGTCCTTACTAGAGCCATGAATGATTTTATAAATCAGTGTGGATACAAGAAATTCTTATGATTAGCATGTCAGTCAACTTGCCTAGATAACAACATAACAAGATTGAATGTCTGTTATGGAACCTGAGTAAAATTCTTGTTCACATTCAAAAGTTATAGATCTGCCTTACATTTAGCAAAAATAAGTGTCGCTCTTGTTGAGACTAAGTGATAAACACCTAAAGCTTCTTGTAAACGTGATGAACGTCTAGCGACGCGTACACGTGATGGGCGCCTAGAGCTACGCGTACACGTGATGGACGCCTAGAGCTAGGCGTAGACCTACTCTTTTATCTATTTTCTTACACCGCCTGAGAACGTGTGGAGAAAATTCTCTAATATTAGGAAAGTAAAAATGGGTCTCCCGGTCAAACAAATTGCAAAAGTTACAAAAAGTTACTGAAACCTGTTTTGTTAAAGAATAACAAATTCAAAATCAACCTTGATCCAACATTTCGAAATTAACTAATTTACATAAATTGAAAATGGCCGCGATTTTGAGTATTGGCAGCTATTTGTCTTCTTCAACGTTATATATTGAGCAAATAAATGTATTAGGTATAAATATAAACATGACCCCAATAAATCCAAATCACAAGTTTGATTTGCCAAATGACCTCTCAGTGTCTTTAGGTTAAATGTCAACCTCTTATTTGGGAAGATAAGCATGATATTTTCAGAAAAACGTAGCTGCACATACATAGTTTGAAACGGCCCTTCAGTGCCAAAGTTGAAGGTCAAAGTTGAATTTGTAATAGGTTTATACAGTGTAATTGAATTGTACATCATTCCAATTCTATATTGGAAACTGTATATACACTATACTAATAACTATATTTTTCTAGATAATAATAGTTTATATATATATATATACACGCAGACACGTCTTATATATATATATATATATATATATATATATATATATATTGTAGTTATGTATACTGTAAATTAATTTCAATAATTAATTACTATTAAACGTTTACCTTTAAACCTTAGTTTTTTTTTTCATATCCATATATTTGAACGTAATGCAAATCAAAATTACAGTACATTTCGAAATAATACTAGTTATTGCTATAATACCTCCATGCTCTTAAATTGTAAACAAAAGGGAAAAGGGACTGTAAATACTTCTAGCCTACAAGTAATTTAAACAATTATTTAAACTAAGCAGGGTTATTAATACATGTATGTATTAACTTACATAATTAAAAATTTATATGATGGTGTAAAACCTTAGCAATTGTATTTTGAATTTATTTCTAAAATGTATTTAATTATATTTCTAAAATAGTTAATTTAACATTTCGAAATCTGTACGTGAAAAGTGTAAATAGGATAATACATTTCATTGTATAAATACACAAAATAACGAATGTAATTCACCTATACGTCTAAACGTTCTTCTTCTTTTCTTACAAAATTATTTCAGTCTTATTTTCCAATAATTTTCTATTCTGTTGATTTTTTTTATATCGTTTTTTGGACACAGCAACTAATTTAATAGTATAATATTTTTCAAAATCAAATAACACATTTCTATAATAGTATTACAACTAAGTATTGCTATTCTCTATAATAAAAAAATAATTAATTAAAAGATTTCCAATGTTGTATATTTATTTATTTCAGTAATACATAATTTCAATAATAACTGCTTTTTTGTGTAAATACTTTAAATAAAGTAGTGTACCGGTACACTAATACAATGTAAATCTGTACAGATTAATTCATGTTTTCTGCATATTACTGTACCGGTACTTGTTTCTATTTGAGCTTTATTTTTATAGTCAATTAACATAAACACAATTAAATTCTGCGTAACTATTGTTTTGGTACAATACATTTTATTCTGAATTGGTATTGGGTCGCACTTAATTTCTATTAAAGTAATATTTAGTCAAGTTAGAATTCATAAAAGAAATCAAAGTTAACAGACATTTTGAAACCGAACAATGTCTGTAACTAGAATTGGATATCACTGTCAACGTTTGTGCAGATACCATCTTGGCATTATAAAAAGGAATTAGTTTAGTAGATGGCATATTTTTAACAAGAGCACGGAAGGGTGTCACTTGTCAAAATAT